TTAAGTTTTAAAACTTTCACAATAAAATGTTTTCAAAAAGTTAAATATACTCTGGATATTAGGGCTCTATCTTAAGTGTGAGGAGTAAAGATTTGTTCCCAAGATGTAGGCTCCCTATTTACCTCTCTTATTGTTTCTTTTGCTGAGAAAAAACTTTTTAGTTTTAGTAAGTCCCATTTGTTGATTCTAGTTATTAACTCTTGTGCTATGGGTGTCCTATTCAGGAATTTGGAGCCCAACCCCACAGTATGTAGATCGTAGCCAACTTTTTCTTCTATCAGACGCCGTGTCTCTGATTTGATATCAAGCTCCTTGATCCATTTTGAGTTAACTTTGGTGCATGGCGAGAGAAAGGGATTCAGTTTCATTTTGTTGCATATGGATTTCCAGTTTTCCCAGCACCATTTGTTGAAGATGCTATCCTTCCTCCATTGCATGCTTTTAGCCCCTTTATCAAATATAAGATAGTTGTAGTTTTGTGGATTGGTTTCTGTGTCCTCTATTCTGTACCATTGGTCTACCCGCCTGTTTTGGTACCAGTACCATGCTGTTTTTGTTACTATTGTTCTGTAGTATAGTTTGAAGTCTGGTATCGCTATACCGCCTGATTCACACTTCCTGCTTAGAGTTGTTTTTGCTATTCTGGGTCTTTTATTTTTCCATATGAATTTCATGATTGCTTTCTCTGTTTCTACAAGAAATGCCGTTGGGATTTTGATTGGCATTGCATTAAACCTATAGAGAACTTTTGGTAATATCGCCATTTTGATGATGTTAGTTCTGCCTATCCATGAACAGGGTATATTTTTCCGTCTTCTAAGATCTTCTATTTCTCTCTTTAGGGTTCTGTAGTTTTCATTGTATAAGTCTTTCACCTCTTTTGTTAGGTTGATTCCCAAGTATTTTATTTTTTTTGAGGATATTGTGAATGGAGTGGTTGTCCTCATTTCCATTTCAGAGGATTTGTCGCTGATATACAGGAATGCCTTTGATTTATGCGTGTTGATTTTATATCCTGCCGCTTTGCTGAATTCATTTATTAGCTCTAATAGTTTCTTTGTAGACCCTTTTGGGTCTGCTAGGTATAGAATCATGTCACCTGCAAATAGTGATAATTTAAGTTCTTCTTTTCCTATTTTTATGCCTTTAATTTCTTTTGTCTGTCTAATTGCTCTGGCCAGTGTTTCGAGAACTATGTTGAACAGAAGTGGTGAGAGAGGGCATCCCTGTCTTGTTCCAGATTTTAGAGGGAATGCCTTCAATTTTTCTCCATTCAGAATGATGCTAGCCAGAGTATACAAAGAACTCAAAAAATTAGACAATAAGATAACAAATAACCCAATCAACAAATGGGCCAAGGACCTGAACAGACACTTCTCAGAGGAGGACATACAATCAATCAACAAGTACATGAAAAAATGCTCACCATCTCTAGCAGTCAGAGAAATGCAAATCAAAACCACCCTAAGATACCATCTCACTCCAGTAAGATTGGCAGCCATTATGAAGTCAAACAACAACAAGTGCTGGCGAGGATGTGGGGAAAAGGGTACACTTGTACATTGCTGGTGGGACTGCAAATTGGTGCAGCCAATTTGGAAAGCAGTATGGAGATTTCTTGGAAAGCTGGGAATGGAACCACCATTTGACCCAGCTATTCCCCTTCTCGGTCTATTCCCTAAAGACCTAAAAAGAGCATGCTACAGGGACACTGCTACATCGATGTTCATAGCAGCACAATTCACAATAGCAAGACTGTGGAACCAACCTAGATGCCCTTCAATAGACGAATGGATAAAAAAAAAATGTGGCATTTATACACAATGGAGTATTACTCTGCATTAAAAAATGACAAAATCATAGAATTTGCAGGGAAATGGATGGCATTAGAGCAAATTATGCTAAGTGAAGCTAGCCAATCCCTAAAAATCAAATGCCAAATGTCTTCTTTGATATAAGGACAGTAACTAAGAACAGAGTAGGGAGGAAGAGCATGAGAAGAAGATTAACATTAAACAGGGATGAGAGGTGGGAGGGAAAGGGAGAGAGAAGGGAAATTGCATGGAAATGGAAGGAGACCCTCAGAGTTATACAAAAGTACATACAAGAGGAAGTGAGGGGAAAGGGAAAAATAATACAAGGGGGAGAAATGAATTACAGTAGAGGGGGTAGAGAGAGAAGAAGGGAGGGGAGGGGGGATAGTAGAGGATAGGAAAGGCAGCAGAATACAACAGACACTAGTATGGCAATATGTAAATCAATGGATGTGTAACTGATGTGATTCTGCAATCTGTATACGGGGTAAAAATGGGAGTTCATAACCCACTTGAATCAAAGTGTGAAATATGATATATCAAGAACTATGTAATGTTTTTAACAACCAACAGTAAAAATTAAAAAAAAAGTTAAATAGAAACTATAAAATATGCATAAACAAAATGAATATATAAAATATCAATAATAGTTAAAAATAGCTGGATATTTTCTGGACTTGAAAAAATAAGAAGCATGAATACTGAAAAGAAAGGAAAAACTACTATCCTTTGAAGATATAATTGTATATCTACAAATCAAAGAAAACAATCAAGGTAGTGGCTACAAAAATATAAAAAATGCCAAATGTCTAACTAGTTAGAAAAAAAAATGGAAGAAAAAAAGATGCAACTTATAACAGCCAAAGATAAAATCATCCCTTGAGGAACCTAGGGGCCCCCAGCCACTACTCTGCCTATGTTCTCCTCATCTTGATGACAACCATAGAAGTGAACCTTGTGCATGTGACCATAGACCATGGTGCTCTGGTAGAGCTACCCACCCACAGTGTCAGTGGCCAGGTTTTTACACAGGACATAATTAGGGGCTGGAGTCAGTAGGTAAGAAATACGTAACAGTTAAATGAGGAAAACAATGTATACTGAGGGTTATCAGAGTAGTCTCAAATAACTAAAAATAAAAGCTCTTTAGTAGAAAACCCAGTTTTTAAAATAAGAACACTGTTTTCCCCTCAGAAATCCTAAATCTTTAATAAATCAATGCAATCTCAAAATGCTAGTGAATTATTTCTGGAAACCCAACAAACTAACACGAAGTAATGAGGAGGAATTAACAGGTATGAAAACAGAAAAAGCAAAGCCCTGCTCCCGTCTCACATTTTTTAAGAGGACAGAGATGACGTTAAAATTTCTTGGTACAATGTTTGTTTCATTATCTTAATGTTCCATAGGTAGTTCACAATTTGTGAAGGCCAAGTGACAAAAAAATCCGGAAGTACATGTCCCAGTACAGAAGGAGAGACGCTGTGCTGGAAAGGGCAGCGCCACCTTCTTTCAGCTCTCTTCACTGCCAGGATGATCAAGAAGCATCGCCCAGACTTCTTGCAGTGCTTATCTATCCATCTCCCTTTAATCCCGGCCCTCTATCATTTCTTAATTAAAAGCTCTTATAAATTGCTGAGTTTCCTCATCTGTAAAATGAGGCCAATCACTTTTTCAGAGTTATTTTTAGGGAATAGATGAGGGAGTCCCTATAGTATGTGCCACATAGTAACATTTTGCAAAATACTAGCTACTAATTAGATGCTAAATCATTACCACCATCCTGCTTCCATTACACAGGTTTTAAATTTTAATCTCAGGTTTAAATGTTGCAATTTTTTTTCCTTATGTGTGTATTTTACTAAAACTTGCATTAAATTCTTTTTAAAAGTGGACAATACGTTGAAAAAATAAGCATCACAATAGTAAGAGTATAGTAATTGCTGCTCCAAATGCATTTCCTGCTACAGGAAAGAATTAATAGAAAATGGACATCATTATACTGAACAAGGGTGGGTTCACCTCACTTAGTGAAGGCGATGGTTTCACAAAGCCTATGCTCAACCTAACTGTGTATGCTGTGAGGGGTTATTTTCTAGTCAATCCTGATGACCCCAAACCTCACAGAAGTGCTGATTAATCCCTTCTCAATTAAGTAAGTAAAATCAGAACATCTTAATTTTTACTGAAAGTGAAATATATTTTCCATTAATTCAATTCTGCTTTCCTTCTATACAGATACATCCTTGATGACACAAGGATCAGGAAATGCCAAATTCACCTCTACCTGAGAGCGTAAATAACTTTTCATCTCTCGCCCATGATCTTCCACTGCCCCATCCTCTTACCATATCCTCCACTGCAACAAAGGTGAAAGAGGAAAAAATAACCTTTTCTCAGGATATCATACATTGTTAAATACTACCTGGTCAGAACTCTTAAAAGTTACTCCTACTGTGATCTTTCTACATTTTCTTTTCTCTCCCTCTCAAGCTCCCCTACCCTTACCATTTATCTTGTACCTAGCTCTATTACTGTTCCATTCACTTTGTTATCATCTGTGTAAATAATCTCAACTGTGTGCACCTGAAAGCAAGAACACATTTTTTCCTCTTAAGTTTTCAAATTCTCAGAGGATTCTCCAGCAGAAAGCCTAACAGTAGGTCCTGGAATGTTTTGAAGTAAGTGAATAAAATGTATTACCTACAAGAGCCCTGGATTGGTAATCAGAAAGTCCAGACTCTACTCTTGTTAATGCAATTTGGAATTTCTGTAGCTTTCTATTTAAGTTTGAATTTTCTAATCTATAAAGTGGGACTTTACTTGCTCTGCTATTGTATAGTTTCACAAAATGAGATGATGAAAGTAAAAAGTGCTTATTGTTATATTAGTTTAAATAACATCATAGTTACTTCTGAAAATTAGTATTATTTGTCAACCAAATTTATAAATGTAAGTAGGAACAGTACAGTTGTTCCATTAGGATATGAAGATTTAATGTTTACTTGCTTTTTCTTTAAATAAATTTTTTTAAAAAAGCTAAAGACAGTTGGTAAGGCATTCATTTATATTATTTCTTCAAGAGTATTATGCTTGTGCTATGAAAAAGAAATAATCCATGTTAATTGTGCCATGTCTTCCAATCTTAATTATAATTTAGATATAAAACATTGGGGTATTTCTTACCAGGTTCTGGGAGGTCTAATTTCGCCCGCTTTAGTTCTGCCATAGAAATCTGAAGTTGGTCTATTACAAAATCATCTTCAAAGAAAAAATCCTTTGCTAGAGTCTCCTGAAGAAATTCTACAAGTTCTTCCATAGACAATTTCATTAGATGTTCTAAGAAAGGATGACAGAAATGCAAATGCTAAGTCAACAGTTACTTTAGGTTGAAAAGATAATACATTCTATTTGGTATAGCACATTTATAAAAAGGGCATTGAAAAAACCTAAACAACTTTCACATGGCCTTGTGAATGTTAAAAAATTTTTTTTTCTGATACTGAAATGGTCACAAAGAAATGCAGGTTAATCTTACTGGGGAGAAAGAGGAGCTGGCAAATACTGTCAAACACCTTCTCATTGGTTTAAGAGTAATAATATATAGGCATTAATAGTAACCCAGAGTAAGAGCTTCTCTGAGACAACTGACAGAGAAAGGCACCCAGGAAGACATGAGGCCTTTCTCTTTTATTGATTTAAAGCTCCAACTGTCACAGGCAAATCCACTTCTAAGTCTGTATTTATTAGTGGTTCAGAACTTTTTTTAAAAGGGATTATTAATTTGTAGAGTTTATTTCTGCATATGAAAATAGTTTCATCAGAAAAAATTTCAAACTACAGACACAAATCGGAAAACAAAAACCCACTAAGATCATACTACCCAATACCTTACTCACAGGTATGTATATTCACATGTGCATATGTGTATCAATTCACAAAATTAAATGATATTTACAAAGTTATTCACCTTCTTGCTTTGTTCCCTTTCAATAATATATCACTGATATCTCACTTCAACAGATATGATTTTATACCATCATTATTCATAGTGATATAATAGTGCAATGTAATGAATGCATTGTAATTTGCTTAATTAGTCTTCTAGTTATGGACATTCAGATTGTTTCTCATTTTTTGCTATTTAAACCACTTTGCCATGAACCTCTAGTAACAAAGTCTCTAAATATTAAGGCAATGTGGAAGAAAGAGAAAAAAGAAAAAACCTCTTAACCACTGAGTAAGTGTCCCAAAAGAAGTTTTCTTCTTTATGCTTTATTTTTTAATTGGCAAATAAAAAATTGTATGTATTTAAGGTGTAAACTATGGTCTATTACAAAATCATCTTCAAAGATGATTTGGTGTATGTATAACATTGTGGAATGATTAGACCAATCTAATTAACATATCCATCAAACATATTTATTTTTGTAATGAGAACACTGAAAGTCTACCTACTTTGCAGTTTTCAAATATTCACTAATATTATTAGTTTCAGTCACTAGGCTGTACAATAGATCTCCAGAACCATTCCTTCTGTCCAGCTGAAACTTTTTTACCTCTTAGTAACATCTCTCCATCCTCCCTCCCTTTCAACTACCATTCAGGTTTTAAGGCTTCACATGGTGATGAAGGAAATTAGTTTAAGCTCTTGAGCTTTGTTTCCCTAGCCAAAAATAAATAAATAAATAAAAAATACAGAGCAGCAGAGAAATTTTTCTACAGTTTATTTAGTCCAATGATACGCTAGTATATAAAGTAACTGCTGTGCTTAAAGTTTATTTACAAAGGGTAAAGAAACTTTTTACTTGTCAAAATTGATAAAGGGTCATATAAATAAAAACAATTTAAGAAGAAAAAAAGAGCTACAAAGAAATATGTTTCTACTTTTTCACTGTTTAGGGAACATTGATATCTCTTAATAAAATTTTATTTTTGTTCCACACCTCATTTTATTCATAATCCAGAGAGAAAGGAAGTAACTGAAGTGGAGGAGAGGCAGGAAGAGAAGAAAGAGGGATTTCACTTGGTTGTAAGACAGAACCCTGGGTCTTGGATAGCAATTTGTTGTCAAAGGTTTTGTCGTGGTACTTTAGTCTGTGTGTTGAGGAAACAGAGCCTGAATACAAGGGAAAAGAATCACCACGCTTCTGAATCCTTTTCTTGAAAAGAGTAAACAATACAAAGGTATCTTATAATGGGCATTCTTATTCCTAGGTAAAAGTGTGGTTGATCTGGCCCTCTGAAGTCCACTCTGTTCACATAAATAACATAACAATCTTACATCAAAGTACCTAGCATGTACTTAGAACACCAAGCACAGTAGACAGAAAAACCATAAACATAACCTCATGCACTCAACTGGCTCCTACTGCAGATGGGATGCTGAGGAGATCATTCAAGGACAACATGAGAGAGCAGAGTATATGTGGAACGTGAAATTATGTGGTATGGTCTAGATTAGAAGTACTATATAAAGTTCTAAAGCTTTCAGTGATTCACACCTCTGTATAGTTTTAAGAAGAGCCACAGAATGCTTACGGTTGAACTGAGACTTTAAAGTGAATATGATTCTTCACATTCATGAAGAAAATCTCATTTCTTAATTTTATAGTAAGGCATAGCAACTCAATTTACAGAGCCCTTGAAATACTGCAACTGAGACTAAAATGTGTTTTGTTGTTTTGTTTTAAAAAACAATCCTTTCTACATTTATGCAACTACAGACACTGCCTTTACTTGCCTCAGAGGCCATGACACAGTCAAGCAGAGCTGATCTATAAATTCCCCATCTACAACTTGGAGCTGGAAGCTCTTATTCCTAAATGAAGGAAACAATAATAGAAATATTCTCTGTAGCACCCTTAAATCATGAGGCTAAAGCTCTCTCTGTTCTATTACAAACTTGAAATTCAGATCAATGAAAAGAACAAGAAGATCCAGCGAACATAGGGTTAGAAGTGATGGTGGGATGTGATGATCATTATTATCCAAAGTACATGAATGAAGACACAAATTGGTGTGAATATACTCTGTGTACAACCAGAGATATGAAAAGTTGTGCTCTATATGTGTAATAAGAATTGTAATGCATTCTGCTGTCATATATAAATAAAAAATTAATTTAAAAAAAGAAGATCCAGTGAAAACCAATATTTTAGAATATCATTATTAGTGAAACCAACAAATTTCATTCTACCACTCCAGTGAAACTGTTATAAGGAGAAAAGAATCCAAGATCTTTGCCATACACAGCTCTAGTAGGAAAAAGAACCACAAAAAAGTAAACTACCAACTGAAGAAAACTTCCCCACTGATTCTCAAGGACTTTTTTTATACTGTCACGGAGACAATGGATAAGGAGCCCAGTGGGGATTGACACATCAAAGTTAAAATAAGTCTTGATTTTTATGAAATCTTCAGTTAAAACATTTTCTTACTTTTGTGTAATTTTAAGATTGTGTAGGACATGGCAGTAAGAACTCGTTCTCCTTCAAAGATGTAAATATCCCATATTCTGAGGTTTAGAGTAAAGGGAGTCTGTAATGAAAAATAAAACAAAACAGAAGTAAGATTAACAGTTTGCCTCACCTTGTGATCAGGATTTTATGATAGAGTTTTGTAAATAAATACTTACACGATCAAGGAAACACTGAAAAAACCATTTCATTGTGTAAAAACTCGTGTAGATTTCTTGAGTATCCTAAAAAAACAAAGACCTCACAATTTCTAGATTGTAACCAACAGATTATGACAATACAATACACAAAATTAAGAAGGATAATGGAGATAGCTGTCAAGGATGAATATTAAAAAAAAACACCTTTGGGGGCTGGGGTTGCAGAGTGCTTGCTTAGCACACGTGAGGCACTGGGTTCGAGCCTCAGCACCAAATGAAAATAAATAAGTAAAATAAAGATATTTAAGAAAAAAACCCAAAACATCTCTTTACAACCTTTTTCTTGATTTCTTTTCCTATTCTTACTTTTTCTCCCAAAATTTTACCTTTCAAGATTAACCCCAGAATAAATTTCTCATGAAAGGACTGTAATACATTTATTTTTCACTAACATATTTTACAATTAACTATCTTTGTTTTACCAAAGTATTATATCTTGTAGTAAAGCACACATATATTTCATGAGGAATGAGTTTGTAAGAACCTCAAAATACTTTTTGTGCAATTCAAAAACCTCCAAAGTAACTAAGAAATCACATTTTATTTAAAAACTTCATTGTTTCCACTTACCAGCTTCACAGAAATCTGAATCTACTAATTAAAACTGTGATAGATCATCAATATTAAATTTTACAAATCTAATGTTCATCAAACTGGGAACTGTTTTAACTGTTTAGTAAATGAAATGGATGACACTATAAATTAATGAGTTAACTGAGGCCAAAGACCAAATATCACTGTAGCTTCATTACTGGAACAGGTGGGTGTTAAGTCAGTGTCACATCTACCTACCAAATGTTGCTTAAGCTTGGACAGAAATTTATTCAGTATTTTTTCATGATGTTCTTGAAACCTCAAGAGTTTAGGGAAACCTTGGACAAAAAAGCCTATAATACAAACATAAAAACAGTACTTCAGAAACAATATCCACAAAACACCAATTTAAAAATGCAACACATTTCTTTCATTCCTATCAAAAGAAAAAAGAAACATCTAGTACTTACCAAGATAATTTTCCTTCCCACCAAAACCATAATTGTATACAAACTTTTGGGTAATGAGACTTTTAGCTAGGATTTGTTGTTAACATTCACCTATATTTTTATAAAATATATTTTCTGTAAAAGGCAGAATATTTCTGAATTAAAGGAAAACTAGTAGACTAACCCCCCCCCCAAAAAAAAAAAGAAAACTGAGATTATTAATCAAGATTATGTGTTCTTTTTAAGACCTTGGGCCATATCTTAAATGATTGAATTTTTTATAGTTCTAATCTTAACTACTTATCATTTGGTTTTACTGTTAATGTATTACTTAAACATTTATTTACATTTTCAAGTTTACTTTAACAATTTCTCTAGTACCATTTTTCCAAAGTTTTTATCACTTTTTAACACTTTCTGTAAGCTATATTTAACATAAGCTAAAACAATGTTACATCAAAAATCATATTTTAATCCAATTGATTATACAATATAATCTGTAAGATTTTTAGTTATAAATGGTTAAGTTAGTATTAATTTGTATATTTAATTCATTGAACTTTATACATCTATTTTTATTCACGAGTTTCCTTTCAGATATATTTAAAAGGATATAAATTCAGTGGACTCTTATTTCTCCACCTTAGTGTTTTCAACCTGGTTTCTAAGCAACTTTGAAAGATGTTAATAGATTTTCTATGCTTTTAAAAAGAACCTGGGGTAAATAGTGTATGTTATATGTTGTTCTTGAATATTTATGATGTATATTAACCTATTAATTAACGTCTTTTAGATTTCATGAAACATTTTGCTTTGCTTTTCTCAATCTCCCAGACTTATCCAAACTTGGAGTCTATTTTTTTCCCACAAAACATCTGTTTCCAAAAAACAAAACTTTGTTCCTTCAAGAACTTCAGGAACACAATACTGGGAAACATTGCTTTACAATCTGAGCAGAATTCTCTCTTAACTTTATTGCTCAGTTTTTGAAGGTATGTGTAAAAATTTCCAGAGATAGAGATTCTATTCTTCTCTCAGTAATATTTTCCAGTGAAATGATTTAAAAAAAAAATCTTTATCTATCAATGCCATTTTCATGGTCAATTTGACAAGAATGGGAGTTGGAAAAATTTCAAGAAAAGTATGATTTTTTGAAAAAGTCAATGCACTTCAGTAATAACTAGCTCAGTGATACAAAGATATCTAATATTTCTTTATTTTTCAGTGATATCCCAGGCTCAGTATTTTAAATCTTCTCTCTTCTAGCCTTACCTTTGATTTCTCATATTTACAAGTGACACCACTTTAATAAAGGAAATGCAAAGGATAGAGGGTACTTTAGATAAAACTTCATAAGCAAGCATACAAACAAATATTTCTAAGTACAAACTCACCCATAAAAATGACCTAGACTTCACTGAAAGAATAAATGTTGGGATAAGATTGCTTTACAGATTAGACTGGCAACAATAATTGCTAGCAAATAGGTTTTAAAAGAAATGATTATTTTCTAAAATTAGATAGGCTTCTACATAATTATATATCACTTAAATTGTATACTTCATTGCACTCAAGACAAATCAACAATACCACTGCATGGGGAAGCAAAATAAAGACTGATAAAGAAGAGTTCTTTTTCCTCAAGATGTCTTTTTAAATGATACTGCCTATTGAATGTCGACTTAACATAATAATATATCTTACATTTGGAGTCCAGAAACCATTAACATGTGTTAAAACAATTGGCAAAAAACATTGATAGACTAAAGCAAACACACATACACACATGCACACACCCCTCACACCCCTCCACACACAACACCCCCACAAAAGTCACTTGCTAAGATTGTCAGATTTAATATACAATGGACTATGGAAGGCCATAACTTTGAAAACGTTAAAATAGCACTTTCCATGGAAGGTCCCCACAACATAGAGCATAAATATTCACAAAGTGAACGTAGGTGATTCATTCTTAAGAGTAATTGGTATTACAAGTTTTAATTTGATACTACCATATAAATGAATTGGAAAAATAACTTTGCCTTAATATAAATGCCACTTTTATTTCCAAAACAAATTGCAATCCAAACTCTACAAAATAAAATTTAATGAACATGCTTGGCAAATATTAGGAAAAGGTCATTAAAAACAATCTGCTAATCTGAAAACCAAAAATTATGCATGTTTTGGAATATTAAACAATCTAATGCCCAAAACATGTCATCAGCCATTTACTTATAATGGAACAAAATATGGCTGGAAGAACTAAAACTCACACTTGAAATATGAAACTACTGTGTTATTATGTACTTTTCCTTTAAATGCCTAAATGTCATGTCATTTCTCAGTTAATATTCTTTGACAAGAAGTCGTACATCACAATATCCAGTCAATGGTAACATTTAACTGAAATGGTAACTGCATGACTGTCTAAAAGTTTTGATCAAAAGGTATCTTATTTCTTCTAAATAATATAGCTTTTCCTAAATTCCTCCAAACCTGAATTAGTTTCTTCTGACTGAGGGCAAGTAAAAAAATTTAAAAATTTTAAAATACCAACAATATACTTTGGGGAAATGACAAAGAAAAATCAGTGTGAACTGAAAAAGTTAGAAAAAAGTTTAATAACAAAAAACAAAAGAATTAGAAACAAACACCACTGAACAAGCTCTGAGACATTAAGTTTGTTGTACTAATTCTACCAGGCATCTTTGACTTTGTTTTCATTTACCTTTTACCCTCTCTGATTTTATTGCTTATGATAACATATGGGTGTTCTTACCATGCATGGCATGTTTGGGGCCCGAGAAGAGTTTGACCAGGGCCCAGAAGGCATCTTCCTCGTTCATGTACATGAGGAGTAGAGCTGTGATCTGGCTCATCCCCTGACAGTACCCAACTTCCTAATGAGCAAAAGAAAGCACAGACACTGGAGTTCAGAATACAACTACAGATATCACAAAATGCCTAGATAGATTATTTAGTGGGCATTTCTAGAGGTAAATATTACAATCTTTACAGCATAATGCCATATGTTATAAAAGAATAAAAAACTCTCATATAGAATAAATGCACAGATGTAGACAAAGTTTAAGTCTTTTTTTAAAATCATCTTCTGTTTGATACTGTTATGCTCTCTTTAAAGAGTACCAATATTATTTCATTTTATGTTTGATTTTAGCTCACTATTCTTCCTCTTTGCTCAGATGCTAGCAATCTCTCTCCTCCTCCAAGTCCAAGTTTGCTATCTTATTTCCTCTATATTTCTGGACCCTTAAATAGATACTTTTTGGATGCCCACCCAACCTACACCCCTCTAAGAGCTACCCACTCTCCTCATAGTCCCTGCTTTGATATGGCCTTAGTGATTCATGCTTCTGTAATAGGAACCATAGCTGATGGACCAGATGAGGACACCTGACACCAAGAGAATAATTAATTGGTTTCATGGACTAATCAGACACTCTACTCTCTCTAGGAAATGTGAACAAAGCCAGAGGGCTACAATCACATGGAGTTATGTACTCTAATAGTATGCTATTCTGTGAGTGGAATTTCAGCCATGGAATAACCAGCAGGCAGGTAAAGGAAGCCATCTGGAGATAGACACAGTAGAATACACAATTCACAGAGATAGTCAGAGATACCATGTGGCCCCACAGAGAGGGGGAGAAAGTATAGCTATTCTCCCTGAATGCTTCCCACCTTTCAGCTCCAATTCCCCTGAGGCCAGGTACAGCTTCATTTCCATGAGAAGTTCCTTTAGTAAATCCCTTTTGACATTTCCCCAGTTTAAGCTGACTTCTGCTCTTGTTCAAAGGTTCTCCTCCCTAGAATCTTGTCAATAGGTATTTATTTAACAGCCATGTTAGGTCTCTCCCCAGAATGGTACATGCCTTAAGAGTAGTATGTTTATTACTAAAAAGTTTAGTTTTATTCTACTCATACTGAACATCATCTGATACATAAAATGTAATACTGGAAGACAACCTTCTAGGACTTATTGAAGAATTATTGAGTCAAGCAAAAATTAATCTATTCACCAACTTCCTGTCCTACCTTCCCATTCCTGACTTGTTTGCTTAAAAGTTATAACAAATACCATAAAACATAACAAAACAATCTGTAGCGGGAGAGAAAAAGTGAGATTTACTGGTGTACTATGGTCATATCTTGTTTTTTCCACTTCCAAATCACTTCTGTTCTAAGACCTCAGGGTTACTATGGGAGCCATAAAGAGATCCACAGAACTAAAAGGTCCTGGGATGAAGAAATGGGGCTACAAGGGCCTTATTATGTAGGGGGTGCCAAAAGGAACCTCCTGTTTCTTGGAATACAAGTAAAGAATAGGGCATGCTTGGACTTACCGTATTATAGATAGAATATGCAGCAAGAACATGAAATAAGGATTGTTGCCTAGAGAAATAAAAATTTAATTAAACACAATTTAGTTATTTCATACTTTTAAAATTACAAACTTACAAATAATCCATATAAGATTTACAATTGCAATAAAGAAATTCTCCTAAGTGCATATGAAAACAGTACGCTCAACAGTCTAAATTTGAGACTAGATAGCTTCATTCTGACAGAAAGATTTATACCCAAAACACAAAGGACTTCAACATGTCTTACACTGTTGCCACCTTTTAAACAGAAGCCACTGGATTAACAAAACAGAGGCAAGGCCTTCTGAAGACTCCATGACAACACCAACTAAGTGTAATACCTAACAGAACTGGGCAGTGTCCTCCAAAAAGCCGGACATGCTCTATAGCAGCCTCCAAGAGAAGGTAGCTTGTTATGCTTTCCATAGCCAGAATGCAGGTATTGAGGTTCAAGGGTGGAAACAGGAATAGCTCTACTCACTATTATCCCAAATGACTGACTCCCTAGGAAGTTTTCTGCTTCCTATCCCTGCAACCTTAGGCTCTGTTGATCTAGATATCTTAGTTCCAAAAGAGCAGGTTCCACCAGGAGACACAAAGTTGATTCCATAAAACTGGACTGCCATACAACCACTTTGAGTTCTTTATGCCTCAACAGACAAGGAGGGGGATTGATCCTGATTACTAAGGGGAAAAATGATTGCTACGATATAACAGACATAGGAGGAATATGTCTGGAATACAGGAGAACACTGGGGCATCTCTTAGTATTACCAAGCTCTGTGGTTAAAGTCAATGGAAAGCTATTGATTTTTTCCAATTTGGGCAGAACTGGCAACAATCCAGACTTTCCAGGAAAGAAGGTTCTACCAGAAAAAGAACTATAACCAGCAGCAGTACTTGATGAGGGCAAATGATACATAGAATGGGCAGTGGAAGAAGGTTACTATAAATACCAGCTATGCCCATATGGGAAGTCGGAGAAATTACTGTAATTTTACAAACACTTCTTCCTCACTTTGGTATGAGTGTGTGTGTGTGTGTGTGTGTGTGTGTGTGTGTGTGTTTATGTACACACAAACAAAATTTTCTTCTTTATGATAATTACACTTATATGACAGTATTTAAGTTCAGGATAGAAAAGCAGAGGTCTGAACATGGCCCAAGAACTTGATATCCACTTATGGGAAAAGCATTAAGAGTGTTTTCAGTTGTAAGCAGAATTGTTGTATCATGTTAGACAGAAGAATGAATTTGCTACTGTCTTATCTGGAAATTAAGAATTGCTTAAGGAGATGAGTGTCAGTAACCAGTTGGCACAGGTGGACTGTGTCGGTTGGCTCTGTGTAGAAATCTGGCTAGGTTACTGAACACTATTATTTAAACACTCATCTAGATGTTACTGTGAATGTATTTTGTAGATGTAGTTAAAATCCAATTTCTATTGACATAAACTGGGGGAAGAATATCCTATGAAATTTGAATAGGCCAGGTTCATTCTGGCTTCCCTGAAAAAGAAATGCCACCTAAGGACAACAGCTTCAGCTTGTGCCCAAGAGTTCTAGCTTGTCCTTTCTGATAGTTTGCTTTGTAGATTTGGACTTGGGAAGCCAGCCCTCAACAACTGGACAAGTCAATCTCTTAACATATATTTCTTACTGGGTTCTACCTCACTGGTTGGCCTCTGACAAATACAGAAGTCAGCAAAATTGTATCTTTCAATCATAAAATGTCATAGCAATGATACACCAGTGTGTGGTCCTAATATTCATTTCCTTAAGTTTCATTTATGCGTGAAATCAAGGTTATATTTATCACTGACACAGTTTTCAAACACATACAATCTCTCTTCTCTACAACTTTTCATAAAAGTATCTAATGTATTCCTAAGAATTCTCAAGCCAGAAAATGATTCTTCACTAATTTTATAGCATCTACAACGTCAAAGGTTAACATTTTTTAGTTAAGCTAGATCCTAGGTTTTATACCAAATGGACTCAAATGATTTGCAAATGTTTCAATCTTGGGGATCTAAATAAAAATTATAATCTACATAAAATATCTTAATGCTTTGATAAAGACTATTTATAAATGCTATTTTTTACATTTGATAATATTAAACTTTACTTACTTAACACCATATCTGTCTCTAAACATAATATGGTCCCTGAATGTACGGTTGACATCAAGGTCTATTTGTCTGATATCAGGTGAACAACCCCGTGCTCTGTGTTTTAATTTCTGGAGAAGAAAAAGAGAAGGGGAAAAAAAATGCATCTTATGAAAATCACTTGTTCAAAGTCCATGATTTATAGTAAAATGATTTTCATTAAAAAAACTTCCTTTTTGTTGTTTAGGATAACAACTCCTGTGGCTTAAAAAATAAAATCAAAGCAATATAAAATGGTACACAAAATTTTTTCCTACCCTCAGTGTCCCCACTGATTCAACTCCCACTCCTTCCCTCTTCCCTCCCATTGTGTCAATATAGTTAGATTTTTAACCAACTTCCTGGAGTCAGCCTTACTAAGACTGTGTGAAAGCTCTTCATGACTGAGCCAAGCAACCTACTGACTTCATTTCTTTCCAGCACAGTATTTTTATTTTCCTTGGAACTAAGCACTGCCTTGCTTCTTGAGTTGCTTCATTTTCTATATACTTTTAGCCCATTCAATCCCAAATTCACTATAAATGGTACAAATCCCCTTAGGTGATGTTCCAAAGAACACATATGCCACTGACTTGTCTTCCTGAAGGCAAATCCCAAGTGGGCTGCTTGGCCTCAGGGTTGCTGCCCAGGTCAGACCTGGGGCTTCCCTCTGTTTTGTTTTGCCCTCGTGTCTCCTGATTCCCGGCTCTCCCATTCTCACTCCCATCTTCACTTTTCTGGTCTATTCCCTTGCTCTGGAGGAACACATTCTCCAGCAGCTCCTGTGAAAGTGTGTGTAGAAACAAGAGGAAGTTTTGGAAACCCTGAATGTCTGATGAGTCTATCGTCTCAATTAACTGTTTGACTGCTTCAAAATCCTAAGTTGGAAAATATTTTTGCTCCAAAGGTACTGTTTCATTGTCTTCTGGTCTCACATTTTGCCAGGGGAATTCTTGTCCCTTTATATGCAAGTTCATTTTCCTCTCTGGAAGATGGTAAAGAGCTGCTCTCTCCTTGCTCTGAAATTTCCCCTTTTGCTACTTTTATCCACAGAGTTGGGCACTTGGTATATCTTTTCTTAGAAACTTATACATCTCTCAGCTCAAGAAACTGTCTTCAGTAATTCTTTTGTCAATTTACTCACTCTCCCCTCCCTCCTTCCCATTTTCTCTTTCCAGAACTCTGATTATTACAGTGTGGGATCTTCTAGGCTGTTATCTAATTTTCTTGTATGTTCTCTATTATTTCCCATCTATTTGCCTTTAAGTTTTATTCTCTGGAAAATTTCCTCAATTGGAATTTTCTATTGTTTTTCATTTCTCTTAAGTTTTTCATTTCCATTATTTTTTTACACTCATAAGCTCTTTGTTGTTCTAAAATGTTCCTTTTTATAGCATCCTACACTTGTTTTATGGATGTAATATCTCCTTATTTTTCTGAAGATATTAAAAACAGTTTTCTTCTTGCTTTATCGTTTGCTTCTTACAAGTTTCTTTTTTCCATTTGCTTTCATTTGCCTTTCATGCTAGCCCCTTTCCTTAAATGAACATGCAGTACTTTGCTATCTGCTTTTATTTAAAGTGAGACACTTAAAAAAGCTGTGGGGTTTCACAACAGTGTTCTTTACTGTAGAGTGATTTAGCCTAGGAGATGCACTGTGGTCCATGAAGTCAGGATCTTTGGGTTTATTTTCTTGTGCTGGCCACATTCCCCAAAGAAGGTTATTCCAACCTTGTCAGGAAGACAAGCACCTGGATGCCATGTTTTAAGACCTGGGTTGAAGAAAAAGACTAGACTGCTCAAAATTCAGGATATTCTATTCCTTTGCTTTCATGAGCGCAGCCCACCCCAGCAATGTCTGTGTCCCAGCTGAAAGGACCTCTGCTCCATCCTCTCCCAATAATAAAGTTCCAGTCCTGGGCCAGCGCTGGAAGGAAACCTGGAAGCTCTAACTGTTTCTGAAAAGACTATCCAGCACCTCTGTTTAGCCTCATCTGCACTTCCAGAGGTACCTACAGCCAGCAACTCCCAACCACCTTCTGAAGGTCTCAGCTATGGTGCATGGTGCTCCTCCACTTTCCCACTACAGCCCAAGATTTAGCTTTCTCAGGTTTATTAAATTTACTAAATGCCTGTCTGTACTCTGGTTTCCAAAAATTGGCAGCTGTTATTTCTTCTTCTATTTTCTTACATCTTGTGGATTTGCCTTTAAAAAACTCTGCTGTTGGGCTAGGGATGTGGCTCAAGCGGTAGCGCGGTCGCCTGGCATGTGTGTGGCCCGGGTTTGATCCTCAGCACCACATACAAACAAAGATGTTGTGTCCGCCGAAAACTAAAAAAAATAAATATTTAAAAAATTCTCTCTCTCTCTCAAAAAAAAAAAAAAAAAAAACCAAAAAAACAAACAAACAACAACAAAAAAAAAAACACTCTGCTGTCAATTTATTGGTATTTCAAAGGGAGGGGAATCTGAAATTATGAGTATGCTTCATTTCCCATGTTTAATCCAACAGAAGATTAAAATTTATATTAACATGTACTTATCTATGTTTAAATATAAATAAGCATCTATATACACATGCCATATTGATCCATTTACCACATACCGACAATACAGATTTCTGCTACATTTATATAAAAACATAGTTTAATTCCTGACTTAAAGTAGAATAGAGGCTATCTGGGTGTGTCTCAAATAATGTGTGTGTATGGTTAAGTGCTTCTGTGTTTTGAGGTAGGAACTAGAGAAGGGTAGCGTCTATATCTTTTTAAAACATGAAGAACGGGCTGCGGGTGTGGCTCCATGGTAGAGCACTTCTCTAGCATGATGAGGCCCTGGGCTGAGTCCCAGGCACCAGGAAACAGCAATTCAAAACTTGAAGAGTTCCCACAGAATGATCCTGAGTTCTGAAGACAGAAGAAGACATTTGTAGTACTGTATGAAAATCATACAACCACTGAAATATTATTGTTATTTCTAATAAAAGCTGATGAGATAATACAAAAATTTAGTTTAAAAATAATAATTTGTTCATATTTGATCTCAATATTTTACTTCTTTTTTTCTTTGAACCTCTATTTTATTTATATGTGGTGCTGATAATCGAACTCAGCGCCTCACACATGCCAGGCAAGCACTCTATACCACTAAGCTGTAAAGTAACTCCAGCCCTTAATATTTTCTTTTGTTAAAAAGGTAATGGGCAGGGCTGGGGCTGTAGCTCAGTGGCAGAGCACTTGCCTAGCATGTGTGAGGCACTGGGTTTGATCCTCAGAACCACATAAAAATAAACAAACAAAACAAAAGCATTCTGGACATTGACAACTACAAAAAAAAAATTTTTTTTTTAAAGTAATGGGCAAGTACAGAGGTTTCAATTATTGTTATAGGCCTCTTCATAAAAGATGAGACACGGAAACAAAGGAAGAAAATGTTTGACTAGACATTATGAAAAATGCCTTAAAATAAAATTTAGTTGGAAGGGAGAAGACCCAAACACATTTATAACAACAGCTTCTCTTGAGGACAAGATAATCCATCATAAAAAAGGTCTCATGACAGAAGCAAAGCCCAGTTAAGCTGGTAAAAAATAACAGGTCAGGAATGTTATTTATGTCCTAAAAGGTTTACAAACTAATGCACATAATACAGTAAATCAAGCACGTTTCTTACCTCCTGAAGAAAAGGAGGTTAACAGTTTTTACGTTTTCTCTGAGACTAGGTGGTTGAGATCCATGAATACTATAATAATACAAGAATAAACATTTTTCTTAAAAAAAAAATGGGAGCTAATGAACCCATAAACCTACAACAGAAGTACAGTGGATGTACTAAGTACTGTACAGAAGTACAGTACTTAGATGAAAAATTAGTAGTATGGCCAATCAGACTGAACCGAGCCAGGCTAAGGCTCACATGAGCTTGTTACCCACTTGTTACCATCTATAAAGTGCATTACTAAACACAAGAGAGATAAATACAAATGAGATACGTACAAGTAAAACAAAAACAAAAACAAAACCAGAGGAAAAAGAGCATCGGCTCAGGAGCCAGAACAATCTGGATTTTAAATCCTACCTCCTTGCTAACACTGGAGTAAAACGTTAATTAAGTTCAGTTTCCTCATTTGTAAATGTTGATGATAACAGTAAAACCTGTCTCTCGGTAATAATGGAAGAATTAAATACAGTAGTTCATATAGAGCACTTAGATAATATCCACGCATAAAAATACTTGAATACAGTCAGCTCTCCTCAAGGTAAAGGAGATAGTTATTTATAAAATACAGTAATATGAAATTTCAAACTAAAACCAGTCATATCCAAATCTGAGGGAAGGGATCAAAAAGGGTGTTTGCAATGTACCTTGAAATTCCACCCTATATTTCTTCCCTTTTGGAAATGAACTCCTCTCAGGCTCCTATTCTATGAAGACTTCCCAAACCCGTAATGTGCCTTCTTTTACTCTTTCCTTTCAACCCAGGCAAGTTTTTTGTTTTACTACTTTTAGAGTATTTAGCATATCAATTAGTGCTAAATACTTCTATGCAATCATGTCTTCTCCAATAGAGAAGAACACTTCCCTGACGCTGCACCTGTTTATGTTTGCGTGCTCTTCAGCACCTCAAAGTCTCATCCCAAGAAAGGATACACATGTCATCGAGCAAACTTAAAGGAATGAATGCTCATAATATGCCAGGCTCCAAATAATTTCACCCATCTCAGAAAAATTTTAGTAGATTTAAGATAAAGTAGTTTTACTCCTGGTAAAGTTCCAGTTCATGGGGGGATGTGTGAAGTGCAATGTATACCACTTTCGAGAAAGTAAGAATGAATCATCAGGAAAGGAAGACCTGGTTGTATAATGATGCGAGGGAAACCTCAAAGTAAAATTAATGTTTATGACAACAATGAAAATTATGAGCTTAAAAACAGTCAAGTCATTTCTGTTTATGCTATGGAAAGTTTTTATTAAATTATACCAGCCATTGGACAATTTTATTCTATGCAAAAAATGAAATAAAATATAACTGAGGGATGGGGTTGTAGCTCAGCGGTAGAGTGCTTGCCTAGCACCTGCAAGGCCCTGGGTTCGATCCTCAGCACCACATAAAAATAAATAAAATAAAGGTATTGTGTCCAACTACAACAAAAAATAAATAAATATTTAAAACTATATATAACTGAAAACTAGAGTTCTATTATTAGCAGATACACTGGGTTAAAAAATGTTCCCTCAAAATTCATATCTATTCAGAACTTATAAATGTCGCCTTATCTGGAAAACATCTGAAGACAGCAAGTTAAGATGAAGTCATAATGGATTAGAGTGGACCTTAAATCCAATGACTAGTGTCTTCATCAGGACAGTCAGACACAGACACACAAAAGAAAGAAGATCAGATGACAAAGGAAGCACAGATGAAGTGACACTGCTGCAAGCCAGGGAACCCTAAGGACTGCGGCAAGGGAGGATTCTTCCCTGGAGCCTTGAGCACCTTAACTTCAGCTTTCCATCCTACAGAACTGTGAGAGAATGGATTTCTGTAGTTTTAAGCTACTCAGATAGTGGTACTTGGTGGTAGCCTGCCCTAGGAAATGAATACAGCATGTAAACAAAGAACCTGCTGCTTTTCTTAGTTAAATATTTACTGAGCACCTACTATATGCTAGGCACACTGTAGCAAGTGCTGGGGTTACGTTTTCTGTATGTTCTCTCAAACATATTTTATTTTGAACACTGGCTCTAAAACTATGACACTAAAAGCAAACACCTAGTCAACAGCCTGAAATTTGAAACTCTAAAATCTTGAGACATAAACCCGGCCTGTGTAAAGTCCAAACAGCTGAATTTTGCAAGTCTTTTATTCACATGAAATGAGTAACTCTTTAATTAGTATTTATTACTTTTTATCTTGATGAAATTCACTTTCATACATATATGAAAAAGAAAAGAAAAATATTGAAAGAGCACCAAAGTGCTTCTTATAATTGACTTTGGAGTAAAAGTAAGGTACATATAATTTTTTTCCATTTATTCAATTTTAATTTATATTTAAAAGCATCATATAGTTATTTACATTATTTTCCAAGGAACATATTTCAAAATCTATGCATCTAAGATTCTTCAGTATAAATACCTCACTCCCTTTCAAAGGTTAATAGATTAAAACTTGGGCTTAGAAAGGGTATAACTCAGATAATAAGAAGGCAAATTTAATGCACTGTCTAGTTTACAAAAGATTGACCACACAGTCAAAAGTTTAACTTTTTATTAATAAATAATATTCCTGGGGACAAATTCTTCTCTCAATCTTATAAAAAAAAATCAGACACAGGCAGTTATTAGATAAACTGAATTCTGCTGTTATTTTCTCATAAATTCTAAAAATGATACTGCAAATCTCTTTATTGATACTATAATCAGGAGTTAGTCTATTTTCCTACAAAAATATCCCAACATTGATGGATCATTTGAAATACTGTGATAATTTATATATTTGAAAAGCAAAGCATGTGATACTCATTGACTGATATTGATCATATTTTTACTAAAGTATTTGTTTGAAATTTGACTAAATTACAATCAATAAAACAAATAACAGGCCTCCAAAATCCAACGTAATATAATTTTAATATCATTTCAAGTAATGATACAAGTATCTTCTATCACTATGACAGCTTAAAAATATTATTTTACTTTTTTTACTATTAGTTGTTCAAAACATTACAAAGCTCTTGACATATCATATTTCATACATTTGATTCAAGTGGATTATGAACTCCCATTTTTACCCCGTATACAGATTGCAGAATCACATCGGTTACACATCCACTTTTTTACATACTGCCATACTAGTGTATGTTGTATTCTGCTGCCCTTCCTATCCTCTACTATCCCCCCTCCCCTCCCCTCCCCTCCCCTCCCGTATTATTTTACTTTTAACTTTCAAAGTAACCATTAGTTTAGGTACTTACACTATAAAGGTCTTTTGTTTCTTCTTTCATTTTAGGGATCTCCAGAAGTAGAGCCCAGACTTCACCTCGGAGCTGGAGTGGGATTCCTTTGTAAATTCTCCTATGAAACTTATTAAAAGAAAAAGAAACTAGAAGTTTCAAACGGACAAAAAATTAGAATAGTCCCTTCAATCAATCCAGGTTATGTTTGTCTTTTATTTTCAGAGTATCCATGTCAATTAATTAATATATTTTAATCAGTTGATAGATTTAAATTGTCAACTCCCTTTTTTAGATCTTAAAAGGGAGACACAGACACAGAAGGAAAAAATAAACAAGAAAGCATCAAGAATGCTCAGTATATTACATTAGTATGTTCATACTATTATCAAAGTGTCCTTTAAAAGGCACAAAAGCATAGTCAATGCTCTCTGGTAAGCCAGGAACATGTTACTGACATTCCCTGTTACACACTTTGATCCCTTCTCCCCATTCACCTGGAAAGTGCTCCAAATAGCAAAAAGGCTGCCTTGTGCTAAACGTGTCCTCACAGTGTACAGAGAACACTGTGTAACCCCTAATCTCTTTGCTACCACCTTCTCTCTGGGGCCTCTAGAACAAATCAAACTCCTTGCCATCTACCTCATACCTCACTTAGTTCTCTCTCTTTCTTCCCCCCACCCCCACCCACCCCCCACACTCCCTTTCTTCCCTCCTTTCTCTTTTCACTTATTGATATTTCTTCAGGAAAACCTTTAACATTGAACCTATCTGATTAGACAAATATAGTGAAAAAACCCCAACAATGAAAACATGTCTTTTTAATGAAATTAGACAGTACTCATCAGTATCATTAACTCTTTGGGTCCTTGAAAAGTACACGATTGCCCTAAGAATCTTAAAATTCAGTATTCTTCTCTACCTTCTGGTAATGACATTTCCCCCTCAAGTCTAATTATCAAAATAACATGCAAAGTTCTATGGCCATTACAATGTGGTCATTCATGCCTGATACAGTGGCTCTCATCCTAAGACTATACTAGAGACAACGGAGGAAGGAAAGAATTGGGAAATATGAGAATTGGGAAAGATTTCCTTTAGAGAAAATGACAAAGATACATATAAATGTGCCTGAAATGGGAAATGAAGTTGGGAACAGGGGAGAAGATAATGATGAATCAAATGGTGACTTTAATATTTATAACAATAATTACTCTAACATTTTCTGGCTGTCTATTGTAAGCCCAGATTATGCTTTGTTTCTAAGTAAATTTTGTCCTTATAGTATGTTTCTAAAGAAGTTGGTATTATTATCATAACCATTTTACAAATAAGAAAACTAAGATGTGGAAAAGTTACTAGCTCAAAGTAAACTGTATCATAAGAATTCAAATTCAGTAAGTCTGACTTCAGAACCCAGTCACAACAACTAAAATACAGAACCTCTACATACTGGATTTTAACAATAACTTAATACTTCAATTTGAAAGGTACCACTTTTAAAATTCTTTTACAAATTTGTGGATTTCATACACAAAATCTTTTTTTTTTTTTTAAAGTTGCCTGAAATTTGCCTTTCATTTCTACTATATTTGTTCATTTGCCCCCAGAATTAAGCAGTCTACTTTAGTCGTGCCAATGTTTAAAATCTACCAACTTTGAAAAAAAAAAAAAGATTCTATTAAATGACTGTTTTCAATGCCTTGTTTTTAAACTTAGTGCCCTCAAAACAATGTGTTAATCCATATCACTTTGCCTTCCAGTGAGTAAACTTTACAGCCCAGAAAGCCTGGCTCTATTTTGTGGAATTTTCAGAACTTCAAGTACATATCATGAAACAGAAGTGCACTGTGCACTGCTGATGTTCTGTAGTGCCTCCCCATTTCCTCAGCTCCCCTGTCTCTGCCTTCCAATGGCATCAGTCTCCCAAATCTGGACATGAAACCACTGAGCCATACATAGGGCCCTACTAACTGTGTTCTATTTCCTTCTGACCTTTTACTGACAAACCAAAAGGAAAGGCTAGTGTACTAGGTGGAACCACTAAGTGAGCTGCAGTCTGGATGTTGCTAACAAGTCAAGTGACCTTGGAGAATTTATTTTTAAACAATGGATCTATTTTCTGGTCAGTAAAATAAGATGTTGGCTAACAAGGTCTCAAAGAGACATTCAGTTATCTGACCAAAAAAGAAAGATGTGTATCTGTTGTAGGTACATTGCTGTGACAGAACTTAGACATAATGATGTCATGGCCACTTAAACTATAATGGTCTTTACTTAGCAGAAATAACTTCATTTAATAGACTATATTTTTAAAATACAATACCACTGTCTACAGGGAGGTAGCTTCTGTGAGAACACACATCCTAATGGAAATTTTTAAAATTAAAACTCCAAATTTCTCTACCACAGCTGTATTTTTATTTCAAAATATTTTTAGAACTTCTCTGTATTATTGCTATGAAAGTAAGGAATTTGTGGAGAGAAAACATACTTTCTTCCATTGGAAGAGATGAAAAAAAATATATGCCACTTTTTATTTCAATGCAATTTAAAACAAGTATGAATTGAAAGCAGTAATTCTTTTAGAAGGTACAATCTGCTTCACACTAAATTGGACCATATATGTCATCAAATGATGCTAACATTATAGTTATGGGAAAGTGCCTTAAAATTATACATCAAAGAAATACTTCTGTTAAAATCTCTTTTAATGGAAACTGCATTAGCCAGAGTTGCTGTCAGAATAATAGCCTAGTAGAATTGCTCATTTTTACAGAGACTTACATATTTTCATAGATATATGTATACTAGAAGAGAACATAAAGCCATATAATTCTACAAACATTTTATTAGACTGAATGTGAGATGAAAGTGGAAGTGCAACGCATGGAAATTTATCCTGTAATTGCCAATTGAGCAATCTTTCCATGAAGACATAAGGTAAAGTAGTTGTCAACTCTGGGCTAATCTGAAAGACAGCATACTATTAAACAAGAGCACAGGTATTGTACCTAATTGTCCACTTTGAACTGATTTCTCTTAAAAATACCCTGAGTTCCAAACCCAATGCCAAAGTTAAAATCAACAACCCAAAATGAATTCACTCTTGAGTAAAATAATAGAAGAGTCCAACTGACTTTAAAATAAAAATATTTAGGTTTCTCAAAAAGAAAAATAATATTAGCCCTGTGAAATACCTGTTCCAAAAAGATCTGCATGGTTAAATAAAGTTTCACATAATTTAAGTCGCTCTAAAAAATTAACTGCATTATAATATCAAAGATTAAGAGTCTTTTAGCAAACACACCTAGCTTAACTTTGGCTCTGATTTCCCCAACTCTAAGCAGAGAGCCCTTTTCTTATTTAATAAACAACACTTGCAGACTATGCACTGTCAGGCACTACTAGTCTATGTGCTTATTTACTAAATTAATTTACTTAATCCTCACAACAACTATATGAGATAGGTACAATTATTATTCCCATGTTACAGATGAATACACTACAGCAGAAAATGGTTAAATACCTTCCCCAAGGTCATGAAGCTGGTAAGTGGCAGAGCTAGAGTTTGAACCAGGATGGGATGACTCCAACTCCTCTTCACCTTGAGGTACACTGCTTCTATGTAATACCTATTAGAACCCAGGGAACTGATGCTGTGGAATTCTTGCTGGCAAATGCTGATATATAATAATTTAAATCTATACAAAAAGAGTGTGTTGTGGGGGGGGGTGATTATATAGAAAAAAAAGTGTGAGGAAATAAAAAATCCTAACAGTTAACTCAGTTGTGTTTTTACTATAAGACTCCGGAAGATTTCTTATTTTTCCTTTAAAAAATTTTTATTGTCTAACCCTCCTTCAAAAAACTATTATCAGGGGGCCGGGGATGTGGCTCGAGCGGTAGTGCGCTCGCCTGGCACACGCGGGGCACTGGGTTCAATTCTCAGCACCACATAAAAATAAAATAAAGATGTTGTGTCCACTGAAAACTAAAAAGTAAATATTAAAAAAATTCTCTCTCTCTCTCTTAAAAAAAAACCCTACTATCAGTATTAACACTTACTACATGCTGCCTACAGCAATGTAGGAAGCAATGCTATGTGCTTCCCATTAAATCTTCATCCTTTTGAAATGAGTACTACTATCTCCATTTCACAGATGAAGAAATTGAGGCTTAGATGACAGTGGTTTACAAAGCATATACTATGAGGTCCAAACTATTTTCAGAATATGATTAAAACCAAACTTTCCATTTTCACTGTACTGACTTTTGCACTGAAGGCAGAAAAGCAAGGGAGAGAAAACCACCATACCTCAGCACAAATCAGGGCAGCAACAGTGCTGTGCTAGGAACTACTGTGTTCTTCTCTCAGTTAAAAAAAAAAAAAATCAGTTTCACTTAAAGATACCCTTGATGAAGTAGTAAAAATGTGACTGAATTTTGAATTCATGTCTTACTGACATGCCAAGTGACAAAGTGGGAAATGTATATGGCGTTTTTGCTGCATACATCGTTACCTAAGGAAAAAGCAGTTGTGAAACTGCTTATGTAACAATTTGAACCTACTTCTTTTTATCATACAACACCATTATTACTTGAAAAAACAAGTGACTAACCATAACTATATGGTTGTTCAGATTTGATGTAGTATTTTGCAGACATTTTCTCAAAGTAAGTGAGACTGACACTTGAAGGAAATTAACTAACACTGTCTTGTTGTTTCACTGATCACATATGACCTTTCAAGTAAAAATTAGAACTCTGAAAAACTTCTACCACCAAGAACTTGGCACCTTCCCACTATTTAAAGACTCTTCCGACAAGACTGGTAGTGATATTAAAAGATGTGTGTGTGTGTGTGTGTGTGTGTGTTTCTTTAATTGGTTTAAAATTTGGCACAAATTCAATGCAGAGCAAAAAGATTTAAGGGGAGGTTTGCTAGAAGCTTTTGGAAGAGGAGACTGCTGCTGCATCAAAGAAAATATTCTGAGGTTAGCCCTGAGCAGTGTGACATGGGGATATGAAGCAACTGCTGCTGTGATTCTGACCTCAAAGGGAAGCCAACCTCAAGAGGAAGCACACACTGCAGAAGGCAGAGAGGAGATGGAAGAAGCAAGTCATTGGAACCATAATTGAGCAACTGAAATCACTCCTAAAACCCACCCAACACAGCCTCTTTTTTTTTTTCAATTGTATACTTTTTAACTGTATGGTGAGGAGATACTTATAGCATTATTTGCTGCTTCAAATTTACTTTGCTCCTGCTACTTTTATTTATTTATTTTTTTTTAATTTTTTATTGTTGGTTGTTCAAAACATTACAAATTTCTTGACATATCATATTCCACACTTTGATTCAAGTGGGTTATGAACTCCCACCTTCCCCCCATACACAGATTGCAAATCACATCAGTTACACATCCATTGATTTACATATTGCCATACTAGTGTCTGTTGTGCTCCGCTGCCTTTCCCATCCTCCCCCCTCCCCCCTCCCCACCTCTCCCCTCCCCTCCCCTCCTCTTTCTCTACCCCCTCCACTGTATAACCCTGAGGGTCTCCTTCCATTTCCATGCAATTCCCCTTCTCTCTCCCTTAACACAGCCTCTTAACTGGTGAAACCAATCTTGAGTTGGGTATTGTGTTACTTACAACAAAGAGACTGCTAAGATAAGGCATTCTATCAAATTAAATGAAATTTTCAAAAATGAATATGAATGTAACACTTAAAATTGAAGAAAAGTTCTTATTGTGAAATCTACATTGAATACATACAGTTTCACATGGAAATAACATTATTTAAAATTACCTTTTCAGTGTTCTTGTATTTTTCCCATCCTTTTAGCATTTTCAGCCATTTGGTAGTTCTTTCAATTTCCAGGTTCTTTTGCTAAAATAAAGTTGAAATTCATTGTAAATTCATTGTTACTCTTTGTTGGAGTTTTTTTGTTTTGTTTCTGCTTACAAATTACAAAAAGAAAATGCTACAAAAAAAAGTATTGCTAAAAAATGTTGTACTCTATTAGATAGCAAATATCCTATCTTAATTTGGCCTAAGTTATAAGTTGGATAATATCCGAGTTGTATCAGTAGTATTCTGTGGCTAAAGAGTAAAAAGGAATGCTCCAAGACAAGGAATGAAACTGCTTATACTTTCCAACACTTTAAGGCTAATCACATAAGGCTAGTTGTTTTTTTTTTTTAAAGAAAATTTTAAAATATCTTTCCTGAGGTCATGAAATCACAGCTTCCATATCTAATTCCCTTATTTCTCATTCTACCATATTCTAGCATATTAATGTTTTCAATTGATTTTTTTAAGGAACTGGCTATTTATTCATTTACTTACTTTTAGTGTGATTAATTTATAAATAGCACTAGGCTAGAGAAAAATTATACAAATCAGTCACAGTTGCTGCCCTATGGGGGATTCACCTCACACTAGAGGGAACGGACAAGGAAAGACACAGTGCTCTGACAGGTGCTCTGATATAGAGGCAGGGAGGGTTAACAGCAAGGTCACACAGAAGGAGCACTCAAATTCATCCAGAGGGTGTCAGAGAAAATGAGCCATACATGAATAACTGAATGACTGGGATTTTTAGGAAGTGCAATGCAGGAAAAGAATATTCTAGGCAGATGGGGAAATGTGTATTCCCAAGCTGATTCAGCAGACCTAGGGATTAGTCCCAAAAGGCTTAAAGAAAGGAAATATCAGGAGATAAGGCTTCCAAAGTAGGTAAGGGTCTTGTGTATGTCACATGAAATTGAAATCAGAGATGAAGTGGGGAATGGACAGGTGAGACAGAAAATGCGTGCTCCTCACTTCTTTGGTTTCCAGAAGAAAGATTTTTTCCCCCTCAAAACTCAGGCCTGAGAGAGTATTAAGTTGTACGAATAAAAAGCAATGGAAAGAGAAGAGTACGCAGGAAAGGGAATAGTTGTGAGGATGCATCTTATGTTCAAGGTGGATGCTCTTTACAATCCACTAAAGTGGGTGTGGTCATCTCCATTTCATGATAAAGAAACTGAGGCACAAAGGGATTAAGGAACAGGCCTCATTAAGGATAGAAGAGGAGTTCAGAGCCAGGCATCTTGGCTTGAGGACCTGCACTCTTAGGGGCCACATCTCCTACCTCTGGTTTCTATTCTTCTCTGGTGTACCGAGGCAATTGCAGCTCCTGGAAAAAGATAACGACTCCTTTCTGACTAGCTTCAATCCAGCCTCAAACAAGGAGGCATTATATGTTGGCAGATGGCATAAACCCACTGCCAATATTTTTAGATCTAAAAGAGCCCCAGAGAAAATTCTGAATTTAGGAAGTTCTCACCAATGAGAATATTTACATTATTTTTAGCTATATTCTTAAAACTAAATTACTTTTTTTTAACCCCCTGGTGGCACTGGGGATCGAACTGAGGGCCTTGCACATGCTAGGCAAGCATTCTACCACCAAATTACACTCCCAGTTCCACTTTTTAACTCTTTTACATTCACTTATGAATTTTTTCATAATAAAATAGAGCTTGTGAGCAAAAGATAGTCTGTTAGAATTTTCATTTTTCAAAAGGTTAAGCATAGTCTTTATTATATTATTAGTGATAAAATGTTACAGATGGTTCCAAAAATATGTTTAATTTTAAAATTCAGTGGGGCACTGAAATCTAATTAATGTTTCTGCTAAATGTGACTTCAGAGATGGCCAAGCTGTGAAAAACTGAGATTGGCCTAAGTTGCCATTTGGTATTTTTTTGTTCTTCTACACTTCCTCTCCTGACTTCTTCAAAGCATAATCCCTTTTCCCACCAACTGAAAAACACCAAGTAATTTAAGCCAACCCAAGAGTATAATAACATATACTTTGCCAGGAACAACCCTGCTGAGTTCTAGCAGATCTCTTACTATCTTTCATTTTTATTACTATGAATTATCAACAAATCATTTTAGGATGTAGTCATTCTTTTTTTAAAGACACACTTTTGTATTCTAATGTTTATCATATACATATAGATATATAGATAGATAGATTATTTTAAATGTTATACAAGGACAAAATAGACACTTTAATTTTTAAGAATCATTAAATATGCTTTTCTTTCCTGACATCAGGAAAGGGAGGGAGGGAGGGAGGGAGGAAGGAAGGAAGGAAGGAAGGAAGGAAGGAAGGAAGGAAGGAAGGAAGGAAGGAAGAAAGTAGTTAGTTAGTTATACCTTGGAGAAGCTCCCAGGTTGTAGAATTTTAAAATTATGTATCAGTAGATCAATCAAGTTTAAATGTTAAACTCCATAATTCTGTCAGTTCAGCTATACCAGACTTAAATGCACACACAAGTCTTTCCCATGCTACTCATGAATCTGTAATTTATGGATAAAATATACTTTTTCACCAATACATGCTAAAGCTAATTATTCTAAATAATTATTTTGAAGTGTGAAATAATTGAAAATGTATGTGACAAATGTGAACTTAAATGCTCTAGAAAAACAGGCTAAGAAACATCAACTTGCCATAGACTCATCAACAACACAGAGATGAAACTAGAATATGACAGCATATCAGAACTTTCACCCAGAAGTTCAACAGTTTTTTTTTTTAAAGAGAATGTGTGAGAGAGAGAGAGAAAGAATTTTTTTTAGTATTTATTTTTTAGTTTTCGGTGGACACAACATCTTTGTTTGTATGTGGTGCTGAGGATTGAACCTGAGCCACACGCATGCCAGGCGAGCACACTACCGCTTGAGCCACATCCCCAGCCCATCAACAGATATTTTAAACTCAACATATCCAAAAAGATTTCCCCAGACATTTTGCCATTACCCTCTGTTTCCTGACATGAATTAATAATATCTCTAAGTACCATGTCAATCAAATTGGAATCTCAAAGTTGTTTTGAGTTTCCCATACCCAAATGATACTTTGCTGGTCCCACCTGTCTCCTTTCCATCCTGTCCTATGCCCTCATACAAGTAATCATAGCTCTGGGAAGAATACAATAGCTCCTTACTGACATTCCTGTCTTCAGTTCAGCCTCCACACTGCTACCACAACTTTTAAACGTGTCTACTTTAAAATCTTTCAAACGCAACTCATAAACCACAAATAAAGTTCAAAATCAACACAGCATACCCGATGGCCCTTAACAATAAGGTCTGACTGACCTTCCAGATTCACTTGGCAGCTACTGTTATGATCTGGCTATTCTGAATTATTTGTCATTCCCAAAACATGCTGCATTTTCATGTCTCTTAGACCATTTGGTATACTTCTGACTATGATGCTCTTTCTTTCCTTGTCTGGCAAAATCCTGTATATTCTCTCCAGATGCAGATCAAATGCCCAAGGTCTGGAATTTCTTCAAATATACCCATGTCTCAAGCAAAATTAACTGTTCCCTCAGCATCCATACCATGGATTAAGGACCAAGCTGGCCTAGATTCAAATCTGAGCTATACCTATTATTTTCGCTTAGGGCAAATTATTTAATTCTTCTGTACCTTAGTTGTCTCATCCACAAAATGAGAATTATTATTATTGTTGTAACAGCAATCAATACTTCATGTTCTAGCTTTCCAAAGATCCAAATCACATTATTAATATTAAAGTATGAACTCCTTGATCACAGGAACTAAATCATATGTTCATCTTTTAATTTCATCACCTAAAACAATGACTGTTAGAAAAGAAAACTTATATAGACATTTTTAAAGAAAATAAAAGTTACATAAGACACCTGAATAGCACTATGGAGTAACTGTTAGCATTCGGTAGTCCTAAGGTGGAAGGGTGGGAAGGAGAATGAATCTAAATAGATCAAAAATCAGAATGTTACTTCTGATTGTTTGATCATTTAATATAGTCTGATCGTTATAATATAAGAATAACCAGGGTAAATTGTAAATCTCTCTAGAGCATGATAGTGGAGATGGTATCCTTCCATTACTTTAGCAACACTTTTCAAAATTCTGCCCAAAGGCAGCAAAATACAAAATTGATTCTGTTGCTTTCATGTATAAACATCTTACTTTTCTCAATTTTCCTTGTGAAATATTCAAACCCGCAAAAAAACTGGAAAAACGGTACATCGTATACTTGTATGTCCCTTACCCTAGATCCACCAATTATTAATCTTTTGCCAGATTTCATTTATTTCCATAGTTTGGGTGTTTTTGATTTGTTTTTTTGGTAGCTGATCCATTAAAAAAATCTCTAAATATTTCCAAGTATATATCACCTAAGAACAAAATCACATTATATTAATCACAGTACCATTATTATACCCAAGAAAATTTAAAATTTATTCATCATTACTTCATAAAGAATCATACCAAATACCCTACATGTGTCCCCCAATTTTGTAGGGTTCGGGGGGAGAACCAGGAATTGAACTCAGGGGCACCCAACCACTGAGTCACATCCCCAGTCCTATTTTGAATACTATTTAGAAACAGAGTCTCACTGAGTTGCTTAGCGCCTCGCGTTTGCTGAGGCTGGCTTTGAACTCACAATCCTCCTGCCTCAGCTTCCCAAGCCACTGGGATTACAGGTATGTGCAACGGTATCCAGTCTTATTCAATGTTTTATAATTCATTATCATATGTTTTGAAGCTTTAATTGTCTCATATTTGGCAGACTGCCTCCTATATGATCAGAAATCTCTCCCCTTCAAAGACCTATATTACAAATTAAGACCTATATGCCAAATGTGCTAATTACTGCAATTTTTAAAACTGTATAGGAGATCATAGCATGAGAAAATTCCACTTCCCTTCAAAATGTCAGAAAACAAATAGCCAAGAAAAAATAATGCACAGGGCTTAATGTTGGTCGATTTTCCCCCTTTGTTAGCTCTCCACTACCCCTACTCGCTAAGAAAACAGTACACCATTGC